GTTTAGAAAATGTGTGTGTGATTGTGTGGAAAAGAGCCTGAGGCCCATAATATATAAAAATGTATTTAAAAAAAAAATCACACACACACATATATATATATATATATATATATATATATATATATATATATATATATATATATATATATACATACACACACACCTTTTTTTGCTTGGACAGAAATTATGAATTAAATTACTAAACTCCATCCCCTCTTTTAATGATGGGGAGCATAAAGTGAAAGTAGAATAACGAAGCATGTTTTTACCACTGACAGTTTTACACGTTTAGAACTGTATGTTTCCAGAACTGTAGTGTTGTTATATAAAAACATGACATAGGTCTAAAAATAATAAAAACAATCCATCACTTCATGGCAGTGCTGTTGAGGATTGTATAACCCACCCAGTCTGATCTAGCTTTTGCATTCGCGTCAGTCCTCGGTGACACTGCTTCACCCGTTCATTTATCACATCCATGAATAGCGGCATCGCTCCTCCGGGGCTGAAGCGCTGTATCCTTCAAACCCTAACTCCAAACAAGGGGCTCATTCCACAGCACAGAAAGATTCCTTCAATACCCAGTGGGGCTGACGTCACGGAGTAGCCGCTAGCTGAACTGTGGTGTCGCCACTGCTGACCCAGACAAAGTGTGGCTTTTATTCTCATAGCCTTGAATTCTTTGGATTGAGTCCCTGTGTTCTGGGTCTCAGAGCTGCTGGTCCTTATAGGTTTGACTGATGGGTTTTCTATGATGCATGGAGGAATTTGGTCCTGGAGTACAATGCCTTCTGTTCTTGCCCTGGAACCTATAGAACAGCAAATGCTCAAGCAGATATAACTGTGTTTATTGTTCCACTGTGTCACACGTATGACAGATTTGTACATTTGACATGTATAGATTTCCTGTACTCATATTGCATAAGTCTGTTGAACATTGCTCCATTTGAGATGTTCTGCAAATGCAGATTATCCATGAGGAATGCTGTCATAATTCGAAGGCCTGAGTGACTTCCAGCTATTTGTGATTGCTATGAGACAAATGAGGAAAGTGTTTCTTAGTCCTCTGCGACTCTTCTACTTTCTCTCTGTCTCTCTCTCTCTTCCTCTCTCTCGAGCCCACTCTGGAATGGACAGGCTACGAAATGGCTCTCTAGTGGTCCCTAGGCTGCAGCAGAAATTATAAATCATTGCACACTTTTATGGATTCATCTTGCGAAGTGTACAGAACTTGTCAAAGTGCAGCCTGGGCAGGAAGAGATGGGATCAGTGTATAGATGTTTCAGCAAGTGTGTTTGAAAGAGAGCACTCCTTAAGTGTGTTTTAGGCAAGGCTGCCCTGTCAGCGGCACCATCTCATCTCAAAGCCCTGTAGTCCACATCTTTCAGACAGTGCAGGGAGCAGAATGTCATGCTGAATCTAGTGTGGAGTATAATCATGCTGCACGATCACTTCTCATTTCCAGAAGGCTGAGAAACAGAAGGCAAGTCCTGTGAGCTGTGATTAAAGCTAACAGCAAGCTTTTATTTCGTTGTTTTGGTTGGAAACAAAAAGGTTAAATTCTTGACATGCCCTATGGAAAATGATTCAATCTGGATCGTTTATCCCTGTTGTATGTAGGTAGATACAGCCAACCAAGCTCTCCCATTGATTAGGCCTTACTGAAGACCTACCACATCAGATTAACCACAAATGTGATTAGGAATTGACAGTGGAATCAACCAAACATGTTTTGATTTCCAAAGGTGGGGGGTACAATTTTGTGAGAACAAATGTAACTCAAGGCCTTATTGGAAAGCCTAGAGACATCACTGACTGTGAATATGTGTGGTAGCCTAACCAGTGGGATTTAGTCAGATTTGAAAACAGCAGCAGCAGTTCTATTCCAGGGTGTTTAAAAAGGTAAAGGTAAAATATATGTTAATATGTCTATTACAAGCTTCAAATAAAACATTGAATGTCTTTAACAAACATTAGCTTAGTGGTTAACGTACGACTAGAATGCCACAGGGGTGCTATCAGAAATTAGCATTATTGTAGAGGTGTTTTTTCTCTGTTTTTGGCAGCGTTTTGACATTTAAAAGCCGAACTGTAGGGTAACCTCTAATAATCAGCGTTCGTCAGTGGTACATTTTGTGGAGAGTGAGGATGCTGGAAGAGGATGTTAGATCGTATCACATCTTTGAAGCTGTAAGTAGTTGATTAGAGCGTTTCAGATTTGAAACTGTTGTCTCACCATTAGCAGTGTAACTGTCGAAATGCATGTTATCAATCATTTATTCTGATATTGACACCCAATCCTGATCTTTTCTAACCTACCAAAAAGTAGATTAAACAATGGGATGGCTGATATTACAGTATCAGCAGTGTACAGAACTTGAAAATGCTAGATGCTCTTTAAAATGTCAAAATTTTATAACGAATGATCAATAGATATGATACAAAATTACTTTTAAAAAATCTTCTAACTTCCATTTAAAATGAGAATATTGTTTCTTCCCCTGTAAACTTACCATTTTGGAGTTTGAGATTTGTTCCGGCAGCGATGATATGCTATGTTGTCACTTTATTATAAATTGCATAACAATCTCAGAGCACATCTCGGGCATCATCAGCATTTCTAGAACACTGGCCAAATGCATGCTTGATAAAAAATGAGAAATTTTGACTCCGTGTAGAGAGCCTGTAAACAGCAAGCAGACTGTATAGTAACAAAAATCTTGATTTGATTTCTTTACCAATTATTTCATTTTTCCTCCTGTTCCTTGTATTTGTAATATTGTTAATATTGTAACATTCAGCCTCTCACATTTCACATTTATTACAGTATCATAATATTATATTTTTGTCATATCACCCACCGCTGTGTGCTGATCATGGTACAGTCGTCTTTATGGACAATGCAGAGCCTTCCTTCTCTCAGGCTTGTGCAGTTCATCACCTCAGTAGGTCAATAAATTAAACTGACTGAGGCACCATTCAATTTGTATATCATTCCATTTGTTTTCAGATGATTCAATACAGTTCTCTACTACTCAAACAAGAAACTTTGTTGTGCTACCAGGCATCAATATTGCTCTTGCTAAGAGCCAAACATTTGGCAGCGTCCACAGTGTTTGTGTTTTTGTTTGTCTTTTCCTATGAGGATTCTTTGTGCTGTGTCCAGCTAGATTGGGTAATACGCAGGCCGTATTAAGTTTCACCAGCCACAGCAGAAAAGCAAGCTGTTGTTTCCCTCGTTTTACAGCATCTTACAGCACTCGATGGTCTAGTGTATATCTTATCTTTCAACCTCTGATTCAACTGTGCCTTCAAAACTCGTAAATACTTACAGACTGTTTACATAAACACTTCTTACCCTTCATCATGACATTCTTCCCTGACTGAGGGCCTTCTTCAAGATCCAGCGGCACTGCTCTCCTCTCACAAGTTTATACTTACACATATACAATGTACAGTTTCCTCCTCCATTCTGTCCACGAAACTTTGGCATGTTGAGGTTGGCTGAGTTGTGTAATTGGTTGTTTACTGTAGCTGCAGTCAGTCTTGCTGCAGTTTGGAACTTTTGGGCATTCCCACTATCTGATACCCAGAATCCTCTCTTTTCTGCCCAGACAGCAGGAAATACAGTTTCCTTAGTTACTGATCTGAGAACAGCTTTAATATGTTTCACACTATGGTTAGGTTTAGAAGAAGCTGGTTCTGGAGCAGAGTAAATAGGTGAGTGCTGTATAGAAGCGGCATGCTGAGCGTCTAGGTCTGTGCTGAGCAGAGTATCGGGCAGGCCTATAAGCTCATTACAGTAATCAGGTTAAAGGGATGGGCTTTTGGGAATGACTGGGCCTCAGGCTCTTTCCCTTCGGCTACTCGCATTACTGGGCGTCCCCTGCTGAGGGACTAGGGACAGAGCCCCCACATCATCGCTCCAACCTCTTTCTGACCTCTTCCCTACCTCCCTACCCCTCTGCAGTCTTTCTCCAACCTCTCTCAAACATATTCCCTAATTCTCTCCAGTCTTTCTCCATCCTTTTCCAAACGTCTTCACTAATTATCTCCAAATTTCTACAATCTCTTCCCTACCTCTCTCCAACATAACTCCAGCCTCGTCCCTACCTCTCTCCAGCATAACTCCAACCTCTTCCCTACCTCATTCCAACAGACTCCAGCCTCTTCCTTACCTCTCTCCAACTTTTGTCCAACCTCTTCCTTACCTTTTTCCAACTTTTTTCCAGCCTCTCCCCTACTTCTCTCCAGCTTACCTACGTCTTTCTATTTCTTCTCCAGCCTCTTCCTTACTTCTTTTCAACTTCTTTTCAACCTATTTCCAACTTTTCTGCAGCCTTTTACCTAACTGTTTCTATTTTTTTTCCAACCTCTTTGCTGCCTCTTTCCAGCTGTTCTCCAACCTTTTCCCTTCCTGTTTCAAGAATTTCTCCAACCTCTTCCTTAACTTTTTCCAACTTTACTCCAGCCACTCAGTACAGCTTCTTTCCAAGCTCACCCTAAACTTACACCCACATCTCTCCCTCTCAGCAGCTTTTTTCCATAACTCCCAAACCTTTTCCCTATCTCTCTGCAACCTTTTCTCTACAACTTCTCTACCTCTCCATCTCTGTCCCTCCTCTCCCAAATCTCTCCTCATTGTTTCTTGCACTAATGACTGGCTAAGACGCTGACACAGTGGGCCACACTGGCACCTACGCTGGCATAATGAGCAGATTGTAAAAGCACAACTCTCCAGAATAAAACACAAACATATGGCTGCAGTGGCAACAAAAGCGTATTAGTTTATTTCATTAGTGTATCATCGGTATGCAGTTTTGAGTCTAGTATTTAAGCTGCAGCTTCTGTAGTTTTGGAGTGAGTCTGTTTTCACATGCAGGCTGTCAAGTGCTATTAGCAGAAAGTGCTCTGTTCAAGAACAATGATTCAGCAGGAATGTAGTGTCAATCCTGCTGATCTCCTTCCTGTTCCTAACTGGCTTTTTGTTTTATTTTCAGCCGTGGAGAGCCCCTGAGGTCCGTCACCATTGTATGCCCAAACAATAAGGTAAGACTCTATATCTTTAGAGAAAAGTGTACTATGTGCATTATTTAATTAATGAGTAATGCTCACTTACAAGAGAGTAAAGAGCGCAGTCGGGTTTCAGCTTTGTTGTGCTTTAAACCCCAGTTCCCCAGTTGTTCGTTCAGTTTTGCAGTCAGCTGGACCAGGTGTTCTCAGTTGAAGAGTATGCAGTATTGCTGGTGATTAGTGTTAAATGTCACAGTCAGTGAGCGCTGACTCTTTCGGAGAGTTGGTAATGAAATTCAGGGATCTTTTGTAGCGCCTAGCGGGGGCCCAGTGCTCTGAATAGTCCAGCTCTGCTCAAAATGAGGCCTTATGCTCTGTTGACTGGAGCCAAGCGAAAGCCACCGGCCCTGGGAAAGGCCCAAACTCCGGTTGCCATGGCAACCTGCGGATGTGGCGCATGAAATAGTGCCGCCTGCGAGTCGCTAACAAAGCGTGGCAGCATCCTTCCCTCCTTCACGTGCTGAGGCTCTAATCCTCCGGCTGCTCTATTTCCCTCTCTCTTTTTCTCTCTCTGACACTCTCTCTCTCTCTCTCTCTCGCTTTATCTCTCTATTACTACCACAAGCTCTGTAGAAGCAGAACTCAAACAGTCTTTGCTCTTTCTCCAGGGTTTACAGCAGAAGTTCTCCCCTGTCTTCATAGACATTTTGGTCTCCGCTGTGGCAGAAAACGCACGACCAGCTGTGTGGAGAGGCTGGACTATAGCCCCATCGACAGGGCTTTGTATTGCAAGGGATGGCTTTCAGGGAGCCAGTATAAATGCACTCCATTGGTTTAGTAGTCTGGGAGCTTATGAGGCATGCCGCTGTTTGATAGCTCTCTGCCTGTTAACGTGTGTTACTCACACATCGACAGTGCTCGTCTGGAGCGGGACCACGACCGGCACGGCTAAACGTCCTTGCTGTATTTACGAGCTGTGCTCTGTGGTACGTTAGTGTGGATGTTTTTGTCTGCGTGGGGGCATCTATTAAAGACATGTAGAATCAGGAAGCAGTCCTGTTGGACTGGCAGCCAGGAATTTCTCTGTTGTACTTCAGACCCGCCCTAATTGCACATGGTCCGACAGAATCCTACGCCTTCAGGAAAGCTCTGTGAAGTGAATAATGCGTTGGAAGAAAAGCTGTTGTTTTCACCTTTTCCAGCCAATTTAAACAGTTGATTTTTCAAACACTTTTCAGCTCATGCTGCAGAAAGAAAACCTGCCACGCGCACACACACATTCATTTAAAAAGCTCTGTATTTAGGACCCTCTCTGCGCTCATGAAATAATGGATCCGTACGGTTTGCCTTGGACTCCTAGCGTTTGCTTTTCATTTCTGTCGTGAGGTCTGGATGTTGACCAATCATTAATCATCTGGAGAGGGAGCATCCAGTAAGAAAGGTGCAGGACTAATTGAGTGTGGGGGGAAGGAGTTGTGCATGAGTGCTTTATCTACTGGCTGGCCCAGCTGTCTCATTTGGGTTCTGTTTGGTTACCTCGGCTCTCTCTCCACAGGAGGAAAGTTTCACTTTGTTTGCGGGCCAAGTGTGCTCTGTGTGTGCGGGTAATTGGTAGGTAAGAGTAATGAGTTGTGGCGTGGAGAGGAGTGGACGCACAGACAGGGTTGTGTACTGTAGCAGGATGAAAGGGAACCAGCTGAACTCCAAAACAGACCTGTTACTGTAGACCTGGACACTAACCCTGTTATTCTGAACTTGAAGTGAGGTCTAATTCAACTCTTACCATAACCTTACCTAAAGGAGCAACGAGGTGAAGATGGAACATTTTGATTATTGCTAGGGATGTAATGATGTATAGTGACATGGTGATATCACGCTGCAAAACTGTGCATCAAAATGTGCATCGTGGAGATGTGGCAGTGCTTTGTGGAGATTACTAATTTTATTAATTATGTCATCAAATGCACCTGCATTATTTGTGCAACATGATTATAATCATGTTTTTTCTTCGGTTGAATTTTGTTCAAAATAATGTGACAATACCAAATCCCAGCATTGAGAATTGAACCATGGCCTGAATTTATTCCTACAGCCTTAATTCTTATTTATTACACTAGTGATGCACCAAAATGAAAATCTTTGGCCAAAGTCAAAACGGAAAATTCAGGACACACAAAAAACTGACAATAAATTTAAAATAGCATAAAATAAACATACTAATATTATTACAGTATGTAAGCAACAGTGTGTGCCACAAAATCCAGCCTGTGTCGGTGTGCTCATAGGTGTGCTTCTTTCTGCTTCTGATGTTTTGCTGTACTCTGTGTATTGAATGAGGTGTCCTATTTTCAAATGTTGCCAAACCTACAGTGAAGAAGTTCTTAGGTGGTGTTTCCCTCTTGATATTTAGGATGAACAGAGATTATAAATCGCTTGTCTAACGTCCCTCATAGAAACGGTAAAGTAGTTCCACATGGCTTACATTTTCACTGTTAATCTGCTGCTGCTCACAACTTTAAACACATCTGCACTGACCAGCTCAGGAAAGCTAAGGAAACAGTTTTTTAACAGTATTTTTCATTTTCATTACCATTAAAATTTTGTGTAAAGATTTTGACACCTATTTAATCTTTGTTTGTTTTTTTTCTGTAAGTGGCCTAAAGTGGTCAGATTAGCCACTTAAACTGCAAAGTCTTGTTTGTGGACTCACTTTTCAATGCCTCTTTCTCCTAACTGTGAAAATTACATTTTGGTTTCACAGTAGTTGCCAAATAGTAAGTCTTATGATTAATAATGGAATATTAAGTGCGCAGGGTAATGGGTTATACATGCAGGTTATAAAGGCAATGGAGTCGTTACTATCAATAATATTAGTAATCATGTCATCTACTGTGTATTTTCACAATAAATTAAGCAATCTGTGTTTTAAAAAGCCAAATAATAACAGTGGACTTAACTGGAGAATAACAACCCTCTGAAAGATTCTAAAATACAATCTGGAAAAAGACGGCATTGTAAAAATGCATAAAAAATGTGGTGTATGAATGGATGAGTGTCTGTCAGTCTCTACAGTGTCTTCCAGAAAGAGACAGCAGAGCAAGAGTTTAAAATGAACATTATGAGCACGCAAATCATAATCACTGCTTGATCATAGAAAACGTGAATTTGAATGAATATATACATTTTTGAGTTTAATGGAACAATCATAACTGCCCTACTTTCCAGTCTGATCCAGTGCTATGCTGTGTGGTCTGGAATGGTGCATAAAGCAGGCTAGCAATATGAGCTTTTTGTGTTGGTGCACTCAAGTCTTCTGTCCCTTCTCCTCTACTCTCTGCAGGAGCTCTCCTGCACTGAGGCAGCTAAGAAGAGGTGACAGACGGCTTTCCCCAGCCGCTCTTTCAATTTTTTACACCTGGTCAGGACAGATCAGACTCATTCCGCCCAATCACGTCTGCCCCCCCCAGTCTCTCCACAGGAGTGCTGCTCACAGTGGAAGGTGTCGAGGCTGCCTCTGATTTCAGTGCTTACTTGTGCTTCCAGGTGAAAGCAGTGGAGTTTGCTCAGGGATTCTTGAATGTAGAGAACTTGCATGTGGAGTTGTGGACATGCAAATGGTTAAGTTAGGCATGAAGCCTGAAGCACACATGCAAACAAGCACACACACACACACTCAGTGGTGTGTTTTCCTCTATGTCATGTGCAAGAAGAGAACAGATAGATGAGCTGTCATGGCAACAGAGTAGGAATGGAGCATGATGGTAGGAAAAATGCATCCAGCATGCAGTCCTACCCCCTTATCAACAAACACACTCAACTTCCCCTCCAGCAGTAAGATGGTGCCTCTCCTCATCAACAAAACTTTCAGTGTACGATAAACAGCAGCCCACCCTTCTGAGCAAGACCACTAACTAAACTAACACTATAAATCTGCTAACACTGCTTCCATGCTTAGCAGCAACACCTTCATCCTGCTTGTCTTAAGTTCTGCCCCATTTCCTCTGTGGTCGTTTGGATATGGGATCATTTCATGGTGGAACAGAGTGAACCTCACTGATGGTGTCCAGCAGTAAATCCTTCGTCATCATGCCTCTGTGGCTATTTGATTTCTCTTCCTCAAACATATGGACAATAAACTGACCTGGAAACTGTGTTGCTATCAATTAATGATGAATTGGCATTTTAATCACTTTTGTTATTGAATTTTCACATTTAAAATGATTTGTATTCAGATATCTTAGTGAGAAATAATTTTACATTGTTCTAACAAAACAAAAAACAGAATGTTTAACATTTATATATTGCGTGCCACTGGCAACAGAGGTGATGTGTATCTGATTGTTCAGTTGCTTCAGGTGATTTTCGTGTTTTATGTGGGGCTGCACAAGAAAAAAAAATGACTAAAACAAAAAATAAATATTAAATAAGCTGTGAAAGTGTCAGATTTTTAGACTTTTCAGTTTATTTGAAAGGCAATGAAAATGAGAAACTGATTAAAACACTGTCTCTTTCGCTAGTTAGTGCGGAGGCATTCGAACGGTCTGAGCAGCAGCAGATCAACAGTGAAAAATGTTGGCCAGGTGGATCTATTTCACGGTTTCTACGAGTGGACATTAGGCAAGGCATTTATAATCTCTGTTCTTCCCGAGTATCAAGTGTGGATACAACACCCAAGAACTTCTCAACTACAGGTTTGACACCACTTGAAAACCGGATATCCTGCTTGATTTAAGTGTAGACATTTTTACACCATTTTATGTTTGTCATTTACCAACTACCAGCTGTCCAACTGAATGATAATCGAAATTGTACAACGTACACTGTACAAGTTTATTGTCTTTTTGTTTGAGGTATTTCCGTGTATAGCCTGGCTTAGATGTTGCTGTCGTGTGCAGCATAAAGAGCGGTATGAGCTGCTTGTGTCCTAACATTGTGATGGTTTTATGTGCCAGTTCAGTTAAAAAACCTATTTAGAACAGACACAAAAACGACATGATTTTTGATTCCAAATTATACATGGTTATGCATGCCTTGAT